TGCAAGGCGATCAAACCGGTCAGTCCTAGAGGAGATCAACCGTGACTGCTCTTTAGAAGGCCAGATCCTGAAGTTGAAACTCAAGGACTTTGGCCACCTAATGAGAAGGAAGGACTCCCTGGAGAAGAGCCTAATGCTGGGAAAGATGGAGGGCAATAGAAGAAGGGGACGACAGAGAATGAGGTGGCTGGATGGAGTCACTGAAGCAGTAGGCGTGAGCTTAAATGGACTCCAGAAGATGGTAGAGGACAGGAAGGCCTGGAGGAACGTTGCCCATGGGGTCGCGATGCGTCGGACATAACTTCACAACTAACAACAACAACTGTACAAAATCTGTATAATTTGCCATCACAGGGCTTCACATAGAACCCTGAAAACCTTGGAGGGAGGGCTATAACTACTCCAAAATTGTTACCAAATTTTAATTCTTAAAGTGATAGAAGAGGTAATCCTTGACACATTAACACAACTGAACCCAACATTTCTATGGCTCAGCAAGGCAATTCTGAAGTGAGTTGTGCCCCAATTTTACAACCTTTTTTGCCACAGTTGTTAAGCGAATCACTAATGTTGTTAAGTGAATCATATGGCCGTTAAAGTGAATCTCGCTTTCCCCATTCATTTTGATTGTCGGAAGCCGGCTGGGAAGATTACAAATGGTGATCACATGATCCCGGGACAGTGCAACCGTCATAAATACATGCCAGTTGCCAAGCACCCAAATTTTAAGCATGTGACCCCGGGGATGCTGCAATGGTCGAAAGTGTGAGATCTGGTCATAAGTCACTTTTTTCAGTGCCGTTGTAACTTTGAATGATCTCTAAACAAATGGCTGTAAGGGCTACTTGCATATGTGTCCAAGTGATGTATACACCATTTTAATGAAACTGAATTGAAATAAAGAAAATTGGAAGTATCCAGAGATTTTGGAAGTGCAGCTCCTGGCATGATAGTGTGATTACTGACCCAGAAAAGATGTTATGCATCTTTTCTACGGTCAAACCCAGATTAGTTTACAAAGCAGAAAACTACTAAAGGAATTTTAATATCTTCTAGCTACCATCTGTAAAATAAAGTCTTGGCTCAAAGAACTGGTCATCTATTCCTCTACTTAAATATGAGCCAGCCATGTGCTGCAGCTGCCAAAAAAGCCAACACAGTGCTAGGCTGCATTAACAGAGGGATAGAATCAAGATCACGTGAAGTGTTAATACCACTTTACAATGCCTTGGTAAGGCCACACTTGGAATACTGCATCCAGTTTTGGTCACCACGATGTAAAAAAGATGTTGAGACTCTAGAAAGAGTACAGAGAAGAGCAACAAAG